TTTCGTATTTTACCTACCTTTTATTTACCTATTTTAACCAAAGTTTATCTAAGTGTGGTGGTTCAGCACGATGAAAAAATTCAGAATCTAACCGATAAATCGTTTTCTCGCTGTAGGTAGGCGCTCTTACCTTTACTTCGTTTCTTTAATTCTCGCCAAGCTCTTTCTTTTTTCGCTTCCTCGCTGCGAAAAATATCTTTTCGACACTCCGTGCGCAAAGTGCGTCTTTCCCGCACGCTCGGCAGAAAACGTGCGTTGAAAATCGCACTTTCCACACGTCGTATCAAAAAATACCGTACGGCACATGTTCGGGAAAGAGTTTCTCGTCTCGTGTCCCCTTCCACCCTCGCTTCGCTCGGGTGTAAACGCCACACGAGATCAGAATCTACTTTCCCGCACTTGTATCGTAATGTACTATTCTAGATCACAAGCGCGGCATCCCACTAGTAACAAGGAACTACAAGTCCCTTATATATTGACCTGACCTATTATAAGCGTCTATTTTCGTTGGTTATGTCCAACCGTGGTGTATAGTTTCGTACGTCAAGTATCCCCAAAAGCTATACACATACTACAGCTTTGTTAAACAATGATGGTGGTACCATACCGTAACAACCTAACAGAATTATGGGTCATATTAGGCAGCCGCTTGATTGAGCCTCATATGACCTGTATAGGTATCTATCTTTGTTGATAATATTCACCATAATGCTTTTCATCGAATGACGATTTTACTGAAAACAGACTTACAATACAAAATTGTTTGGTTCTTTTAAACCGAACATAAGATTACAATTATCAATAGTTTGGAATAGTATATTACGATACAAGTGTCGTACCATATTTTTTTATACGACGAGTGGAAAGTGCGATTTTCAGCACACATTTTCTGCGGGAAAGACGCACTTTGCGCACGGAGTATTGAAAAGTGTATAATTTTTTCAAAAAAATTGTATTTTTTCTTATTTTATAAAAAAAGAATGACAAGAAATATTATCATTAAAACTTTATTCAATCCATACTCCATAAGTACTCCATTTCACTCTCGTAAACAACACATGTTTGTAATATATATAGTTATAACAGTACAGTTTTTGTTCGGCATGCGCATGTGCAATTAAACAGAGACAGAGAAAGGTATTATATCTTCGCTCTCTTTCTATTGGTGTTACGCTCTTTCGGCTACCCTCCCTAGGGTGTGCACAGAATAATTCTGACATTTAAATATGACATGAATTCTAACACCATGACACGTTGAAATAGGATATGTCATGAGCCACTGCGCAGCAAGCTATGCGCAGGTGATTTCTAGGGATTTTAGAGGGAAGCGTATTTTGAATACAAAATGATAAAAATGAAAACAAACAAAAACATTATAATACATATTGCCCAAAAACAAACGATAGATTTTTATAAATTGACTTCTTTGGCTACTACATTTTATTAATAATAAGAAATTCACATTTTTCTAAATACTAAATATTATAATTTTTATTTAACATACAAATTATCATCATATTCACAAAAAAATACTTTTTTATCTAATCGATATATATATATATATATATATATATATATATATAACTTTAGCAGGAGATTTAATAATGTTAATAACAAAAAAGGTACAATGATGGCAGAAGCTATACTCTAAAAACGCTGCGAGTTATAAATAAAAAAAGAATATTATTCTGGTTCGGCGTCTAGTATCTAGAAAAAAAATCAATCATGTAAGTAAAATTTATCGCGCGTACTCAAATTGAAATTTTTGTTATGCTATACATATTTCGATGTGGTTTATCAGCGTTGATTCGGACGTCCTAGCCAGTTCCGAACTATGTGCCTCAAAAAGTCCTTTTTGACGATAATTGAGTGGTTGCGAGGAGTCAATCAAAAACTATCGAGGTGAATCTTTTTTCAGGTAATAGAAGAGAATCTAGACTTTTTAAAACCATATATCACATGAGGAAATCGATACGTTGAAACATGAAAAATAAGTACATCTGTTCGACAACTCTGACGTTTCCCCATTTCATTATATTATAGTGTTACGGCCGGCCAGCAGTTTTGTGACCACTTTGGGCTTACTCGCCTACGGCTCTCGACCGCGACCCTTGATAAAAATTACAATATTTAGTATTTAGAAAGAAAAATGTAAATTTCATATTATTAATAAAATGTGATAGCCAAAGAAGTCAATTTATAAAAATCTATCGTTTGTTTTTAGGGAATATGTATTGTAATGTTTTTGTTTGTTTTCATTTTTATCATTTTGTATTCAAAATACGCTCCCCTCTAAAAACCCTAGAAATCACTTGCGCATGGCTTGCTACGCAGTGGCTCATGACATATCCTATTTCAACGTGTCATGGTGTCAGAATTCATGTCATATTTAAGTGTCAGAATCGTTCTGTGAATACCCATACTCTATCGATAATATCTCTATGTGTATACAACGCTGCCAAACTTGTGATTGCTCCTACGCGAGTCAAACGAAAGTCGATCAGTTCTCTCAACTAACTAGCTACGTAAGTACCATACTCCCTTAAAATCACTTTATCGCACATATATACGTTTTCTCGAATTTTTTTAAAAGATGAAAGAAAAGAATCTTTCTTTTCTTTTTAAAAGAAAAGAAAGATAAAGACTAGCACTAAATATCATGTTTATGTTATTGAGAGCATCGTGACACAGAAACGGTTTCTCTTCATGATAAATATCAGAATCATATATCGTAAATGATTTCAATGTAATTTTCCGATTTAAAAAATAATGAAGATTTAATATCGTTATTGACTATCTTTGTGCTTATTATAAACATGTTTTCTAAAAGAATGAATCGTTGAGTATACTCTGCTCTATTAAAGTCTTTAATAAAACAACGAAAATAGCTTGAGTCGGAATGTTATTAAATAATTTGTCTGAATCATGATTTATAGTTGTAGATAGAAAGCTTGCAAATCAAACAAGTTATGGAATCATTTTGAACAGGAACGTCAGTATTTAATAGTAACATTAATAGGCAATCAATAATATTATGAAAAATGACTGCAGTGACGTAATATGCCATATAATTTGGAAGGCCAAGTTATTATGGTTACAAGGGGAAACGAGTGTAATTAATATAAATCAGTCACTAATTTTTTATTCAGCAACGTTTCATCAACAATTTCGCTGATCTTTTCAGGTTTTATTGAAAAAAATAAAAGAAATGGAACAAACAAATTAGTCAATTTGTTACAATATGGAATCATAAAGATTAATAACAAAAAAGTTTTTTACCTGATTTTTCAAGTATTCAAGTTATTAGAGTCTAGAGGAAGGTACTCCTTCCCAGTCAAGATACAACTGAGAAATCATACAATGTACTCGTACATGTGCGAAAATCGCGATCTGTAATTGCTTTTTTATTGAATTTAATGGCGGCTTATATATATAGCTAAAAAATTGTACTTCCTGTTTCCTATTTAAGCTTTTGTCATATAAACCGATATATAGCATTTCGGATATTGTGCGTTTCTTATAATTATTTTCGTGGTCCAATATCTTTGCTTTATTTCAGTTAAAATCATGACAAAATAACCTCTCGTGTGCGGTAATAACAGTTTCCCCTCCAATGTTATTTTTATGTTCAATTAATCCAGTTTTTAATACTCGCTTACTTTACTCTATATAGACTTCTGGACATTATTTACATCGAAAACTTTGTACAATGCCTGTTCCCTTCATGAAGCTGGATATATCATTGCCCAAACGTATAATTTCTTGTAAAGGTTTATTTAATAGAGGAACTATTGTGATCTTATAATTTGTTAAAATAGCAGAACTTTTTTTGAAAATATATCAATTCTTTGGAATAGCGATAGTTGGTTGTTTTTGGTAAATTAATTTTTTTGGACTTTTATTGTTCTGTTTATGTTTCATAATGCGTTTTTTAGTGTATTTATTAATGAAGTCAATTGAATAGTCATCCTTTTTTAAATATCTTTAACTAATTCGGAGTATGTAGATATGGTTCCTATTATCTAATTCTATTCAAAAACAAATATTGAATGTTATTTATCGGTAACATTTTTCCTTGCGACGTCACCCTGTCTACACATAAATGAAACAAATTACAACCAAGGTGACTAAGATATTTAGAAATCTTGTCTAAATCTAGGCAACTTAGCATAATCCTCACATAAAATAAATATATGCACCTATGGTTCAAGAAATCTAATACCGTCGAAATTGTAATAAATATTATAACGAGATTTATACTCCCTATTGTCATGAAAAATTACTTTTGAGTTGCCAGTTGCCTCGATATGATATCATAAATTATAGTATAATTCATAGCAAGTTTTATAAAATAAAATAATGAACAATTTGTTTGCTATAATAAAAGATTTATTTGATAAAGTAAAATTATTTACTTTTTATTAAAAATAATAGCTGAAATTTTATTCTGGACAATAATATTTTTTATATTTAATAATAATTTTTATTATCAACCGATTACAAAATTTATTATAGCAATTATAATATTAAATGTAATTTTGTTAAAATTTGCCAAAAAGTAATTGTGTCACTTGTTTACAATATTTTATAGTAATTTTATTACAATTTTAATAAATTTGGTATGGTCATTTTTCTCATGGTCAGTGTACGACGCTGCTACTTTACTGTTCTATCTGGAAAATTACGCCCCGCGTGTCAGAAACACGGCCAAAGACTTTACTAACAACTCCATTATATCCAATACAGCCCAGCAGCACTAGTAACTTCTAGTCTCCCAGGCTGCATTGGCTATTATTTCAACAAGTTCCTAGCGCGTACCGCACCTATATATCGATTTAGTATTTTCTGCACGAAAAATCCCGTATACGGCCACCTAGGCTGAAAAGATTATTTTATGTTTTGCATTATTTCATCTCTGGTAAATCTACTAACTAGTTTATAAACGGTAACATAGCCCGGAAGCATCTATAAAAATATCAATAATTAATATTTTGTTTCAGAAATTTGCGAGTATCTCATGGCTGCGTTTCTAAAATTTTAAACCGCTACCAAGAAACGGGGAGTATAAGACCAGGCGTCATTGGAGGAAGTAAACCCCGTGTCGCTACACCAGAAGTAGAGTCTAAAATTGAGAGTTATAAACGCGAGAACCCAAGTATATTCTCATGGGAAGTCAGAGACAGACTTATTAAAGAAGGTATTTGTGACAGGACAACTGCTCCTAGTGTTTCAGTTATATCTCGACTAATAAGAGACCGCGATCCTGCAGAAACTAAATTCGGAGATGGTAATTTTTTTGTATACACAATTAAAAGTCTTAACAGATATCTACATTTAACGTCAGCTTTTAATAAAATAATAAATATAATAATCGTAAAAAATTAAACATTTTAAAATCACGTACAAAGTATCCGTTGCATATCGGTTATTCACTGAAATATTTTTTTCTTTTTTTTTAATAGTTCTTGTTATCTTTGACACGTGTTTTTTTTAATTATCCGGAACTTTTTTATTTAAAAATTTGCAGTAGTGGAATTGCGCTTAATTGTAACAACATTAATTTTTACTTCAATTTTATTTATATTTATACTTTATTGCCGAATTGATTTGCTAAATCTAGATTTAATAAAATAAAGAAAAATGAAATAAAATATAATAAGACTTTTCTCCAAATATTATATATCAGAGCTTTATTATGAGTTTGATCTATAGTAGTAACTTTTTTTTGTGACTCAAATAATAGCTTATACACTATGTTTATAATGGTGTTGCTTGCACTCGGACGTTAACCTAATCTTTATCGTTCACGACTAACCATATTCACCTGAATAGTCCACAGAATATCTGATGATTATCAATATCTATAGAAAATTATAATAAAATTTATATTATGTCAACAATTTTTCACGCAGTTTATAAATTATTTGACAATAACTTTTTGAAATATAGTAACTTATGTCATATTTTACCAACTGATAGAATATTTTAACTAATAAATTAAGCTACAGTGTTTAATTGTACATAGTACTATACCGAGAGAAATCGTGAAGTTACTATAATATCTGATAAAATAGAATCTAGTAATTAAAAATAATTCTCTATCACATATTGAAATGTACTTCTAATTTCACATAGTTCTGAATATTTTTTCACGATAATACTCTAATCTTATGAAGAATCGAACTCATTGTAGGAAGGTAGTTAACATTTTTATAATTTTCAACAGTTTTAATGTAGTAAAGTAACGCAAAAAACGGAAAATTGTTGGTTGATCCTTCTCTTGTCTTGTCCAGTCTTAAAATATATTCTTTATTGCAGTGAAATGTAATAATATAATATAAAATAAAATATATAGTTATATATAAATATATAGTATATAAAATATATACTATAATATAAAATATATAGTATGATATAATAAATCAGCTCTGTCAGTTCACTTACCTGTGACTAAAAATAGATTAATTTACTAAAAAATTATATGCATATAAATAACATGTTCTATTAAGAATATGAAATAATAAAAATGTATCGTTTATTCCACTATTTTATGGAAATTTATGTTCATCACAAAGATGTAAAGTGAAATATTTTTTGTTAGATCTTTACAGTTATGCATGTTAATCAGTATTTTTCTGAATTGCAAGTAACCTTTTCATAAATAGGTAACACGATTTCCATAAAACTTACAGGAAAATTAAAATAGTAGACATTTCAATATCAAAATTTTCAAATTCAATTGATTAAAAGACGCTTCTTGTTTTTCTTAATATTTTTCTAGTAGAGTTCATTGGCATGAAATATGTGTTCAAATTTTTTTGAACGCATGTTTTACTTTATCGTAAAAAAATCTGAAAATTAGGAAGCTTAAAAAATCTTTGGCTATAATTTTTTATCTAATTACCACGTAACGATAAAATCAAATAACCCTAAATCTCGGATCACTATTAGAGTACAATCACATTAAAACTTAAACCGGGATAGAACTGATCCATATAATTCTATATTGCGAATTGAGTTTAAGAAAAACTTTATATCTTAAATATTTTATATCTTACAGTTTAAGAAAAAGTGAGACAATTATTTTATTTATTTTAAAATATTCGAAGGATTTCATTGAAACCAGATATATAGATTGAATGTTTATGTTATTTAATCTTAAAAGTAAAGTCACTTTAAAACATTCAAATAGTAATAATAGTTCTCAGAGTTCTCATCTCGTTAATTACATAAGGAAGAGATATTCCGATTTTTATTTTCAATTTTTAGAAATTACTGTTAAGTAATAAATAAAACTATCATTCTAGTACAAAAATGTCATCTTATATATATGTGTACGATTGTTTGTGCCTGTGCAAAGAGAAAATAAACACTACAGTCTAATTAAAAAATTCTAGTAACTTATGATGTTATAGATGATGTCAAATAATTATACAAATAGATTATAAATTATAAATGAATGAAAGAAGTATAGATATTATATTAAATTCTATGTGTATTTTCTTAAAACAAAGTTTTTAATGGATTCTATTTATGTTCATATTTGGTATCACCTTTGAAATTGATTTAAAAAAAAAATCAGATAATGACAATATTCAAATGTATTTCTACGAGGTAATAAAAATAGCTTTTGGGCTAGAAGTAAAACTTTTTAATGGAATCTATATCCATTACTCGGTTGATATTTTTAGTTAACATAACTTTAGATTCTTGAAAAATGTGATAAAATTTATATTTGTAGTTTGTTATTTCCTTAAATTAATTATGTATCAAACCATATATAAAATCATTGTTCATATATTTATTAGTATATAAAATTACTAGTAATAATTTATAAGTGAGCAAGCACGGATGTGTGAACTATAATGTGGCCAACAAGATAAATGAAATGTGTGCCGAAAAAGGTTCATCTTGAGGCTCATTTGAAGGTAGCCGACGGCAAAGATGAAAGAACTGACGCTGATGTGTAGAATATGGAATGGGTCAGCTTTAGGGAGAGAATGCTGAGAACGTATAGTGGTATACACTCACATTCACGTATACGAGCGTGTGCGAGTATTAGTTTGATTGTGTGTGTATTTGTGTGTGTGTGCGCGTGCGTGCGCGCGTGTATGTACATGTGAGTGCATGTACGTGAAGAGAGAGAGAGAGAGAGAGAGAGAGAGAGAGAGAGAGAGAGAGAGTGAGTGAGTAGAAGGGAGGAGTGAGAGAAAAAGGAGGCTAAGTCATGAAAGTCGATACCTTTGTGCGGTCTGTTGGCGGCCTCTGTGAAATAGGGCCCGTATACCAACACCTAACACCTTCCATTGAAAGAAAAGTCTGTCAGGAAAAAGGGAACTTGCCAATGCCTTGAGCAAAAGATCGGCACATCAAAATATTCGATTGTAAGGGAGTGGCTTTCATTTTCAAAAGCAGTAAAAAAAGGACGACTTTTCTTACAAGCTGTACAGGGTGGTCTAGAGAGAAACTACGAGACAATAAAGCATACAAATAGCCTATAAGGGAGGTCGGAATGATTGATTTACGTGGATTTGGTGAAAAGCGTGTAAAATCGCTTTTTTGACCAAAATTCAGTGCGGTCTCTTTTTTCTCTTGCACTCATTTAAATATATTCTTTGAAACAACAGATTACAATACTATTATAAAATTATAATGTAAAAAAATATATTAAAACTATTGTTTATATAACATTCAAATATTTTTTAAAATTAATAAAACAATGATTTTGATAACTAAGAACCGCACAGTATTTTAAAAACATTTTAAAAGTATTTTTTTAAATCTGAAAATTATATAAATTGTTCGTTAATCATTCAGAAATTAATATTGCATGCAATATAAAATGAAGCAAATGTTGTATATTGCATTGTATATAGATGCCTTCATAAAGTTTTTATTAATCTGAATCCTGCAAAAAACGTGTAAAGTATAAAAGTATAACTATTATTTATTCTATAGTAAAACAAAATATTAGGTATATTTGAATGAATAAAAATTATATACTCAATACTCATATTAAGTAGAAAAGTGATAAATTGCAAGATTATACAGTAGCAACCTGTTGATATCACAGGTTTGCTCAGCTTTAATATCTTTCGACTTTGCTACAACGGGAGAGAGAAAAAGGAAGAGAAAAAAGTAGAGAAAAAAATCCTTAGTGATGGTGTGGCGGCCTCCTTAGTTAGAAATCAAATCAAAAATTACAGGCCTTCAATCTTAAAAGTATGTTAGGTGTTCAGTCAGCTACTAATTTCAAACACCGCAGCTTCGTGTTACAGCTTGGCATAAACGCTGACTGTTTGCGATATAGCTCCTGCTTATCATATATCTTGCTTTAATGTTACTATTTATTGATTTCATTCATGATTTCTATTTTATATTAATTAAAAATTGTTATATTTATCTTGGTAGCAATAGGTAATTAAGTGCTTTTATCCATATACGTGTATCGACATAAAACTTGTAACAATTTATTAGCCGCTGCTCTGACGTGTATTTACACACACATATATATATAACTATTTATTTACTTATTTTGGTAATATGGGTACTGATATACGTGCATTACCCAAGGTATATAAATGAGTAAATCTCGTACAAGTATTCATGTTTGAGTTTGTACGAATAAGTTTTGATTGCAATTATAAGATTATGCGTTTGTTTTCCAATTATTTTAGAAAAGCCATTAGAATAAATTTATATAATTGATTTTTATGCTTCCCATATCAAGTATCCATTTATAAGTAAATAACAACGATCTTTGAGAATGATCCCAAAAAAATTACGCATTACGATTTTGTAACAAAGTTTCGCTGATGTGGTTTCCAGCCTCCTCACGTCTTTATTAAAGAAATTATACAAAATTAAAAATTAGAAGGAAATTCGGTTATCAATACAATATGGCAGGAAAACAAAACAGCGAAACGTTGTAACGAAGTATGAAGCTTTTTCATTTTTATTTAATTACATAATTTTTTTTGGGATCACTCTAGTATCTGTAATATTTACTAATAAATTTATACCTTCCTGCATTATAATACTTTTTTGATGTATAATTAATTAATATAATCGAGGAAATTAAATAATTCAGGAAGTAACTAATTAAATAACACTGAATTTTATTATAATCTCAATATGATTGTACCTACATTTAGTAAATAGTATAAAAATGAAATTTTAGGAAATGTACGCTATTTTAATGGTACTTTCATTATCTCTGCCTTTCTCTCTCTCTCTCTCTCTCTCTCTCTCTCATACACACACACACACACACACTGCTGGCTGCTT